GGAGCCTGTGCTCCGCAACGGGAGAGGCCACAGGAGTGAGAGGCCCGCGTACTGCAAAAAAAAATAAATAAATAAAATACAGGAGTTCTTGATTCTGATTGTGGGTCACATACATTACAATAATGGAAAGAGGACTGGCCATGTTGTCTAGAGACCTGTGTCGTAGGCTTGACTTGGCTTCTTAAGCATTATCTAATTTGGAATAATTCACTTAACCTTCCTGAGCTTCCACTCCAAATACAAAATAGTAAAAAAACATACTGTCTTTGTTTTCCTCACAGGGACATTTGTGAGGGCAAAGTTAAAAGGCTTTGGATACTAAAACTGTGGGCTATTATCCAGGAGCAATGAGTAGCTAGCAGCATACCAGCATTCCCATCCGGGACAACTAGAGCTAGGCAAAACACAGAAATTATTTATTAATTTATAAATATGTATTACATTTATTAATTTATAAATTATTAAGTAATTACAAATTATTATCTCTGTAGACAACAGAAAGGTTCTGAGGTAACAAGAAATAAAGGGGCTAAGATTCCTGTGCTAGTTTTCTATTGCTGCTGTTAACAACCAACCACAAACTGGGTGGCTTAAGACAAGACATTTATTACCTTGCGGTTACATGGAAGTCTGAAAAGAGTCTCACTGGGATAAAGAAGATGTCGGCAGGGCTGTGTTCCTTTCTGAGGCTCTAGGGGAGAATCCATTTTCTTGCCTTTTCCAGCTCCTAGAAGCTATTCACATTCTTGGGCTCATGGTCCTCTACTTCCATCTTCAAAGCCAGCAATGTGGCATCTCTCCGACCCTTCTTCCATCATCACATCTCTCCCTGACCCCAGCCAGGAAAGGTTTACTTCTAAAGACTCATTTGATTAGAATGGACCCATCCAGAGAATCCAGGATAATCTATCTCCCTGTATCAAGGTCTTTAATTCATTCACATCTGCAAAGACCCTTTTACCATGAAAGTAATGTATTTACAGGTCTGGGGATTAGGATATGGACATCTCTGGGGAGCCATTATTCTGTCTGCCACAACTGCAGAGAGGGAAGAACCCCACAGAGCCTCTTTTATCCTGGGATCATTTGCCAATTCTAAACTCTGCCAAGAGCCTGAGAATTTAGGCTTTGTACCCACAAAGGGCATCTACTAGGGGACACAGAAATGAGCAGAGCATTTATAACAGAGACTTGGGGACCCTAAGTAAATGGCTAGTTTTCATCTTAGCACATTTGATGAATATGGGATCTGTGTAGGTCAGGGTGCTAAAACCCTAAGTGGAAAGCCTCTGAAATGCAGAGCACTGTTTTTCATCAGTTTTGTGAGCAGAGATTAAAAGTTCAAACTGTTTCAGGAGGAAAGGCCTCATAGAATTTTCTTTTTGCCTTTTGAAGATGGAGAACTTTAAGAGAGAACTGGAATCCATAAAAAAGAATCAAATGGTTATTTTAGGACTACAAAAGTACAACACTTAAAATTAAGAATGCATAAGATGTGTTTAACAGCAGACTAGACAAGCAAAAGGATAAGACTAGTAAATTAGAGAAGAGGTTGACAGAAAATATCCACATAGAAATACAGATATTTAAAAGAACGGGAAGATACAGAAAAGAGCCTTAGAGATATGTGGGATGCAATTAATGGTCTAAAATTTGTGTAATTCAAAAGGAGAGAGTCTAGGGAGAAAAAGAAAGAGATAATAACAAAACTGATGAAAGTATCAACCTAAGATTCAAAGAGCTCTGTGAACCCCAAGCACAATAACTACAAAGACAGCCACACCAGGGCACATTATAAACTGCTGAAAATCAAATAAAAAGAGAAAATCATAAAAACAGTTGTGGGGGGAGGGGAACACATTACCTTCAGAGGAGCAACAATTGCACTGACAGCTGATTTCTCAGGAGAAACTATAGAAGCCATAAAACAATTGAATGAAACTGTAAAATGTCCAAATAAAATTTCTCCAAATTAGAATTCTATGCCCAGGGAAAAGGATTCTTCAAAAATAAAATGAGACCCAAAGGTATACATTAAATATGTGCAATTTTTAAATATATCAATTGTACCTCAATAAAGCTTAAAAAAAATGAAAGGCGAATAAATACATTTTCTTACCAATAGAAACTGAGAAGATTCACCATGAGAAATCATGAACTAAAAGCAAAAGAGTTCTTCAAGCAGAAGAAAAAAAAATCCCACAAGGAAACATGGGATTTCAGGAAGAAATAAAGAGCAAAAGAAACAGCAAATATGTAGGTAAAGATAAATGAATATCAACATATACACTAACAATGATTTGTGGGGTTTATATGTGTATAAAATTAAATTAAATACATGACAATAGTAACACAAAGTATGGGAGAATGTTAATGAAGTTAAAGTGTTCTAAGGTTAACACTCTTGGAAAAGTAGAAAAATTAATAATTTTAGTATGACTGTAATAAGTTAAGGATGGATGTTGTGATTTCCAGGGTAAGCACTAGAAGAAGAGTTCATAATGCATAACTCAGTAATAAAAATAGAATACTTAAGTCTCCTTTCTGTCCATAAAGTCTCAAAATGATTTAAACACTTTCAGTAACAAATTATTCAAGACTCTCAATTTGTAAAAAAAACACTTGAGTTGCTATCAGCGTTGGTGTAACCAAACACCTACTACCACGTGACCTAATTATTTTTTGGCATTTGATTTAGTCCTTGTTATAAAAGAGAAAACTCACAGACTTAGACAAAAAGCAAACAGATTTTAGTAAATATTTTATTTGAACTAAATTAAAGTTTAACTTTGTAGCCACTTGTATTCACCATCACTGAAATCTAGCAAACTCCCATCAAAACTTAAGTTGCCCGTAGAGAAGCTGGAACTGGAATGTTCAAGACACTCTAAAGTTTTGAAAAAAATATCATGCATCTCATGGATCCCCCAAAGCATGGCTCATCCACAACCCTCCTCCTCGTTGCTTCTTTCCATGCTGGGACTGTGAATTAGTCTAACCCCTTATTTTCTTTCCTCTTTTCACTTGATCTCTCACCTATATATGTCCATGAAGAACTTAACTGCAATGGAACATTCAGGGTGGTTTTGTAGGAATTCTTTCGTTTGTCCATCAGCCTCCAAATGTCCCCAAAGAGTCATGCCCTCTGGTCCAAGCAAAGCCCGCTGAAGTCGATTTAATGGAATTGGTTGCCCCTCTGTCATTTTGTGAAATTCCAGTCAAAGCCAGAGCCAGGGTTGAGCTGACTCGAGGTAGTAAGTTAGAGAAGGTGTGACTTGCTTGGTGATAGCAGCAAACTTAGCCTGGTTTAGTAGGTAATAAAACTAGCTATTCACATAAATTATGAAAATTGAGTTTGGAAATGAGGGAGTGGTGAGGGAAGGGGACTCTTGGAGGTAGTCAGTGTTTGCTTGGTTTGAACTTGAGTGCCACACTGTTGATGCAAAACCTCTGACCAGTAGGCCCAGGTCCATCAGGAAACACATGGCCAAGGTGAGCTTCGCACTGCAAGGAGAGAAGCCTCTGTCATTCCTCAATTGGGACAAGGCTCTTTATGTAAAACCAGACACATGAATCCCACATGGCCACCCCACTCGAGTTTTTGACACTGGTGTGGGGAAAAAGTCTATTGTACCAGAATTTGATTAAGAAATGAAGGGATGCAGAGCACAGTAGTGGTAAATAGCTCTCTCCTTTCTCAGGGAGAATGTGAGCAAGTGATTTAACTTCGGCCTTGATTTACTCATCTTTAAAATGGGGATGATAATTATACCTACGTAATAGAGATGTTGTGATGATTCATTGATACGACACATTTAAAGCACTAACACAGTTCCTGGGTGAGTACTTGGTAATCTTGTAGCCAGTGTATTATTATTGTTTTTTATTGAAGACAAGACTAAGCTACATTTATCTGCTTACAAAACCAGAACATTTGAGCACCCAAGGATATCAAAGTGAATATGCTGTCTGGATTTAAGCCACTCTCTCCTACCAAGGTCACAGGAGGAATAACGCACTGATGTCACCTGCAGCTCTGCTCCGCCGGTTGCCGACACGCTGCAGAGTGAGAAGGGGGCATAGCGACGCCAGCTATGCTTGGCGGTCCTGCTGATTGTCTCTGTGCAACAGAATGTAAAGGGCCAGCTCTCTCTTTCAGATCCTTGGCTTTGCTCCCATCTCTGCAAGGCTTGAACCAGGAAAGGCTCCTTCTCGGGTCTGCAGTGCCCAGAGTGATGGGAGATAGGGACCAGCAGCACGGGAGAAACCCAAGGTGCTTCCGTGACAAAAGTGCTCCTGGCCATAACACCAGATATGCAAGGACAAGCGAGCTCTCTGTGGCATTTGGGGCGGCATTGGGGAAAGCAAATCAGAGAAAACAAAGACACCCACCTGCTTGCAGATGACCTCTGTGCGAGCTGGTCCCAACGAGGTGTCCACACGTCGCAGGATCCCTGTGTTACTCTCATCAGAGCCAGACGTCCCGTGAGCCTCAGAAAACGAAGGCCATCCAGTGCCCGAGCAGTACTTTTTCTCAGAGCTGTGTTAGACATCATGACACTACAGCTGTGAAGCCTGCTATTACCATACAAAGAGCATTTTATGCCCCGAATCATTTTTCTACCAAGCACGATTCGATTCCCTTCTCCTCTGCCAGATCCCAAGGCCACTGGTTCCACAGGAATCTGCCCACTGCATCTCCACTATTAAAGACACCGTCTCATCAGGTAAAAGATTTCTTGTTCCTTTGATGTTGAAGGCATCCCTCTCAAGGACTAAAAACATGAGGAGCTTTGTGAACTGCTGCACTTTAGGAAACAGATCAAATCCCTGTGTTCTAAACATAGGAAAGGGGGATATCGAAATGAAATAATAGTGGTCGAAGGAGGGCACTGTGAGTTTAGCGTATCAGAGAAGGGTGAGAACTGATGAAACAACCGTCTTCAGCCACCGGAACTTCGGGTTATCTAAATTCAAAGCCTGACTGCCTTCAGGGGTTCAAGAGCTGCCTCTGTCACGTCTTAGCTGTGTGAAATTGGACAGGCTGCTTATTCTCTCCAAGCCTCAGTTTTCTCATCTGTAACATGCAGATAATCATATCTACGTTATAGAGATGCTCTGAGGGTTTAAGGAGCTGTGCTGTGGGGCAAGTGGTGATAGATAAGCCTGGGCACCCAGAGTCATCACCGCAGTGCAGTGACCTTCCCGGGGAAGCGCCACAGGGACGAATGATGCTGGGGGCGGGTGATGGTGGTGGCAGAGGAGCCGGCAAGAGGAGGAGGGCAACAAGCAAATCTACTCATCAGACTCACTCTCTAAGTGCTTTGAAAGATGACTCCCTTAAATCACACTAGGAAAACAAATTTTGAATGGCAGGGAAATGGCTCTCTCTATCTGAGGAGGAGAGACAAGAAATGAATTGTAAATTCTTCAAAAAAAAAAACCCCCAAAACACCAAAAACTGAGTAAAGAGGGGGGAAAAGTGGCAAATAATCAAATCCCTAGACTATGAGCGCAGAAGGAAGCTCAGTTTAGAGCACGAACCCCAGCAGAAAGAGTCTAGTGCAAGACAGAGACTCAAACGTCCTGGTCTTGGGACCCCTCTGTACTACAAAATTACTGAGAACTTTTGTTTACATGAGTTTTGTCTATCGATACTTAACAAATTAGAAGTTATAAGTGAGAATTTTAAAAATATATATGCATTAAATTTTTAAAAATAATAAATTCATTACATGCTAACATAACCTATTTTTACAATAATTCTATTTTCCAAACTGAAACAAACATTTAGTGGGAAGAGTTGCACTGTTTTATAACTTTGTAAATCTCTTTAATGTCTAGCTTAAAAAAAATGACAATTGACTATATGTGCTCGTGCATTCAATCTGCTGCAGTGCTGTTTTGACTCAAGTGTAGGAAGAGGATGTGGTCTCGTGGATACGCAGCTGCAAAAGGGAGCACCTCGAAGAGCCCTGAAAAGATCCCAGGAACTCAGGTATAGCTCTGAGGTTGACTTCTGAGAGACTCGGGTGTGAAGCCAGGCTCTGTCTGTTATGTCTCTGCAACCTTGGCAAGTTATTTAATCTTGTAAAGCCTCTGTGTCCTGATCTTCGGAATCTGTAATGGCATTGTTATTTCATGGGGTTACTGAGAGGATTAACTGAGATGCTTTCTACTTTACTGTTTTTAGCATAGTGTCAGACACGTGGTACTTAAGTCGGTAGCTATTATTTTTTAAATATCATTATTATTAGTAGTAACAGGTATCCATGAAATTTGAGCAGCTGTAGGTCCAATCAGAAGTGTCTGCACATTCAGATTGGGCTCTCTGCAGCCCTTTTTGTTTTCCAAGGGTTCAAAAATATTCATCCAAGCTACTTTGGTCCAGGGAAAAACACTTTAAATATCTCTTAATCATAGCTTTTCCACACTGAACATTATATCTAAACTAGTGATCATTAAAGGAATTTTGATGGAGAATTATGAATATAATAATTTTTTTAATGAATGAATCTAAGACTAATAAAAAGTCATTTAAAACATTTTATGGGAAACAATAAAAGTTTTATTGATGCAATTAACAGAATCTGGAGATTTTACCAGGTAATATGAGAGGCCCATCATATATCATTTAAGGGTGAAAACTTAAATATTAAGGTGAATTAGAAATTCCAATATACATATTTAAATGATTAGCAGATTGTAAGGCCCTCTCTTGAGAAACTAAAACCTTTCTGGACCATCTTTAGTCATGTACTCTTAGAGGTGCTTCTTTTGTTTAGTTTTGTTATATGTTTATTTGCTTTGTTTTTATCTTAGTTTCTGGAAATTCCACAGCCCCCAAAACAGCAGCAGAGGCACTTGGTGATAACTGACAACCCGCATGGTAGGAGAATTTCCATTCCTTTGAAGGAATGGGAGCTCACAAAAGGTTAACAATGTTACTAAGTTCCTATTAACACCTAGGATGTCAGGATATTCTGTAAAAAGGGAACTAACATCAGGCTCTCAGTTTCCTTCTATTCTAAGATTTATGACCATGAAACATGTGATCTCACAGTAGATTTTAATAAACACTTTCAGAATCAGTGTGTGGGGGGCAGGGGGAGGAGGAGGGAGGGGAATAGAGGAAGCAGGGGAGGGGCAAAGTCACAAAATTCCAAGGTTAAGGAAGCAAGAGCCTGGAGTCCCCAGGGGAGCGATAAAATCCCGAGAGCGCTCTTGACTTGGAAACCCTGGATTAAATGTCTCTGAGTTGTCTCCCCCAGAATGTGCACCATACTGGTTTGGCCTGAAGGGAAGTGTGCAGGCAGCAAGGAGCCCAGCAGCCAGGAGACAGTGATCCCTCATCCACTTGATTCCTTAACTGTTTAGTTTTGGTTGACTTTTCACCTGGTTTTGACTCTGTACAAGCATTTGAAGAAATGTTTATTTCTTTTCTACTCCTGCTCTCTATTACTGAGGCTGGAGACTGGGGACAGAGAGAGAGGGAAAATGAGAGGTCAAACAAGAATCCCTACCGCTATCCACCCTCCTGAATGGGAAGCGCTGTCAGGAATATAGTCTTCATTTATAGATTCTCATTAATTAGAAGAAATTCTCAAGAGTTCCTCATTATCAAAGACACATTCATGTATACGGCCCTAAGAAGGATCTGTCTCTAAGAATGTCTCATTGCTAACATGTATCCAGTGCTTGGCATATGTGAGCCATTGCTCTAGTGCTTTCATATGTGTTAATTCATAACTCAGTTAATCCTCCCAACAACTTTATGAATTCAGTACTACTAGCATGCTCATGTTACAGGTGGGGAAACTGAGGCACAGAGAGGTTAAGAAACTTGCCTGAGGTCACACAGCAGTGAAGTCAGGATGTACATCTACAGACTTAACCACTGTACTACACTGTCTCTCCTGTAAATAAATGCATCTTTAAGAAGAGTACGTTCTGGAACATAAAAGATTCTTATGAATATATTCTTATTTTTCTCAGTCTCAGCTGCAGCAGCAGCAGCAGTGGGAGGAAAAAAAATGGAACAAACTCAAAAGTCCTTAAGAAATGAAAATGGAAACTGCAACTAAAACTGAATGATTAAAAAGAAACAAACAGGTTGATAGGTCATTAAACTGGCCACTTGATGAAAGGGCTTTTGGGGAACTGGCTGGTATTCTCATTAGTCTTGGCTGCTTTGGGGATGGTCACTCAGCTTCTTTAATTTGGACGAGCACTGTGCTAATACAGTGGCTACTGGTCACATGTGGCCTTTCAAGTTTAAATTATTTAAAATTATTTAAAATGAAATAAAATTAAAAATTCAGTTTTTCAGCTGCATCAGCCACATTTCAAGTGCTCAACAGCCATGTGTGATTGGTGGCCACCGAAGTGGATGGAACAGATATAGAACATTTCCATCATCATAGAAAGTTCTACTAGACAGAGTTTTTTGCTCTGGTCTCTCTGATCCCTACCTGCCCCCAACATTCTGTGATTTACTGACAGAACCTGGCTGGGCATTGGGTAGGAAGAGAGTGTCATCTTAACAGGTACAGAAACTGGAATGCCAATGAAGTTAAAAACAAAGACTCAGATGTAGGAAGGAACATGGTCTTGCAAAGATGACCTCACATGTTTTGCCTTCACAGTCAAAAGATGGAAACAGAACATCTGGCTGTTTACTACATAGTCACAAGGCCGTGCTTTATACTTTTACAACACGGTTCTTTGGCTAAAAGCAGAGTGGCCATCTCAAGGTCCCAATTTTCCCTTTTAATAGAACCAAAGGTCAAAGAATAACTAATGGTTCAGAAATATGCATCCATTTTACTGTTTCTAGCTTCCCCCAGGCCATCTCAGCCTGCCATCTTTTTTATTTTTTTAAAGGTGTATTTTATTATTTATTTATTTATTTTTTGGCCGTGTCGCAAGGCTTGTGGGATCTTAGCTCCCCGACCAGGGATTGAACCCGGGCCCTTGGCAGTGAGAGCAAGGAGTCCTAACTACTGGACTGCCAGGGAATTCCCCTGACTGCCATCTCTGCTATCTCCTCACCAGCCACCGACAGCGTGAATGAATCCGGACAAAGGTCTGCCCTTCCGTGAGCGTGAAGGAAAATCAATCCTAATCGTTCCTCATCCTTGCAGGCGGGGTCTGACTTTCCAAATTCAGCCCACATTAGCAGCCTAGGAAAGCCCAGTCTGCTCAAAGCCCAAAGCACATAATGAAGCACTGCCTAATGGAAGATTCACAGAGCTGGCTTGATTTATATTTTATTCTAAACCAATTTAGGGTTGATGCAAAAGAAAGAAAAACATCTTTGAAGTTCTGAAAAACAGGACTTCAAAGATGTTTCCCTTTCTTCTTCATCGAATCTACTTTTTTTAGACTGTTTCCTGCATGTCTAAACAAAAAAGCCTTTGTTGAGAGATTTCAGATCCTGATTGACTTAAAAGAGGCTTTGAAATCAAGGGACAATTAAATTTACTTTTAGCTACATAGAAGAGAGCATGGTATTCACTACCGTCAAGCACTGTGGGGAATCTATCCTCATAAAATTCTACATTTCCTAAATTAAATTATAAACCCATTTCTCCCTGGGAGAGATACAGTTTTAATCACATGGCCAAGCAAATACCATTATGGTTTAGATTTATTTAAATACTTTCCCAGGAAAAAAACTCTAATAGCTTTATTGTAAGATGCCCACCAAGTTTGTTTTGTTTTTAGCTGTTTCTTGGGGATACAGAAAGAAAGAATATAGGCTAAGAAGTTAATGCTCTAAACACTAGAAATAATCAAGATAGGCAAGAATCTTAAATGAACAGCCCTCCTTATAGCAACCAGGCCAAATGAGAAGGGCAATTAAAAACATCATGGGTATTTATCCAAGGCCCCAGAAGACACAGCTGTATGAATTTAGAGGCTTACTATCCTTCGGTACCTTTTGATCTTTATCTCACCTGAAGAGCGGGCTGTCACAGCACACACAGTGATACATTCCTGATTCCTTGTTATTCAGGTAGATCCCACTGAAAGGCTGAAAGTAAATGAGATACATCACGTTCAGCTTTCTCATAACGCCAGCAGGACACAATACAGCAGATCCAAATCCAAGATTAAGTCTCCCAATAAAGGAATTTTTGTACTAATTTGACAAAGTGCAAATATCACCGGAGAGAAAATTACAATGCACCCAGTGAAGAAGCCTACAGGCTTGTTTACGACCGGCCTTTATTGTGCCAAATATTCAAATTATGACATTAGTAATGCTTTGTATTTATATAGCACCTTTCACCCAAGAACATCAAAGCCTGTGAAAAAGCAAGAGAACCGCACCTCTAGATTGTGTAAGATCTCGGTCACCATTTCAAAAGAGTTAATACAACAGGAATCTAGTCCACTGTCTAAAATACTTTGAAATCTCCAATTAAAGACAGGATATCAGTATATAAAAAGCAAAGCTCAGTGAGATTAGCTTGTGCCTTTAATATGCTTCATGTGGTGTTTAGGACACTGCATACTTAATAAATGCTAAATAATGAGCTAGATTCTCGCAGGGACTAAGTTACTACTTAGATGAAATTACCATGTTAATTGTGGCTTAAGGGGTTTGTAGCTTCCGAGAGGAATACAAGGAGACTTGAGGCAATGAATGAGCCAAGACTAATTTTTTTTAATGTTATTTTGTAAACTGATCTCATTGATTGAAGAAAAAAAAAGACTATTTTTGCCCAGTTCCTTTCGTCATCTCCTGTCAAAGGAATGTTAAAAAAAAGAAACTCTTGGGCTTCCCTGGTGGCGCAGTGGTTGAGAGTCCACCTGCCGATGCAGGGGACACAGGTTCGTGCCCCGGTCCGGGAAGATCCCACATGCCGCGGAGTGGCTGGGCCCGTGAGCCATGGCCGCTGAGCCTGTGCGTCCGGAGCCTGTGCTCCGCAATGGGAGAGGCCACAACAGTGAGAGGCCCGCGTACCGAAAAAAAGAAAAAAAAAAAAAGAAACTCTTGAACGAGCCTAGTGTGAAAATCTACAAGCAGTGGCTACTGGCAGGCACTGTCCCATTTTATGGAGAGAAGCTGAGGCACAGGGTGGGTCACTGAGTCCCAGAGCTGACTCAGGAAACAAGCAGCCCCCTTGGTCCTCTCGAGACATCCCACCTCGACAAGTCCACAGGTGAAACATTCACACTCCTCGTGGTAGGATTAACAGCACATTTTCAGGGAGCTGCGTAATGGACAATTTCAAATTAACCTACTGAGCCCACCATCTCAGCACACTTGGATGTTTTCCCTCTTTAAAAACCCTGAACTTGGCTGCAGACATCCGAACAGTGGTGAGCTGGTCTTTTTCTGGCTCATCCCCTCGAAGGCCTGTACCCAACGCTGGCACGAATGGGCATCTGGAATGAAAAGGAAGTTTTGCATCCCCCCAACCTGGGCTGATGAGACACACATGCCAAAGGGCTACCCAGACCTGAAGGTGATCTAGAGAAGCCTACTCATGCGATCTGGACAGCCTGATAATATTCAAAATATAATTCTGTCATTGCAGGGACAGTTGGGCAGAGGAAATGAAACTGGTAGCACAGTTAAGTTAAAAAAAAAAAAAATCAAACATAAAAGAATCCTTAGTCGACGTATTTTATGAAATGACATCTCTCCTCCGCCTCCTCGCCTGATCTCCTCTGTCTGCCCTCTCACCCTTCCTCCCCAGTTTTATACAAGTCCTATCACTTATTTAGGGCTTCTCGCTTGTTCATTCCAGTATTTACTTGAAAACCTAGTGTGTATCCAGTGCTGGACTGGGTACTAAGGCTGCAGAGATGGAAAAACAAAATGAAACCAAACCAACCCACAGTTCCTGCACTTGGAATCTGCTACCAAGCTGGGAAGAGACATGTGAGCTGGCAGCTGTCACACCACATGACAGGAGCTCTGATGGAGAGGTTAGTAGGGAGTGAGGATAGCACTAGGTCCTTTACTACTAGGGGAGTTTTCACCAAGGCTTTCTGGACCAGGTAATGTCTGAGATGTCTGAGATCAGGGTTTTCTTTTTCTTTAATCTTCTATCATCATTATTTTTCATTGCATGGCTGATTGGTGTTTATTACAGGAAATGCCAAGACACTAAACTGAATTCTGAAGGATGAGTAAGAGTTAATCAGATGAAGAAATGGAAGAGTATTTCAGACAGACAAGCAGCCTGGGTTGGGCCCACGTGACAGAACAGGGCAAGGTGGAGAAGGGAGAAGAGGTTGCTGCAAAGGTGGGGAGGGGCCAGATCATAGTGGCTTTGATCAGAACACGCTAAAGAATTTTCGTGTCATCCCACTGAAAATGGAAAGCCGTTGGAAACTTTTAAAGTGGGTGTGCACACGATCAGAGCCGTTTTTTATCAACAGAAGGAGCACTTGACATGCACATGAAGAATGGATTGGAGTCGGGGCAGGAAGACACTGGAGGCAAAGGACAGTCAAACGGCCACCAGTTCAAGCCTAGATTTAACTGTGGCAGGAGCAGTGGAAATAAAAAGACTAGAATAGATTCAAGAATTATTTAGAAGAGAGAACTGAAATGCGTGACTGTCAGAGTCAGAGACATAATGACTTTCAAGATACGCCTTCCCCTGGGTTTTCAAAGTCTGTCCTAAGGACTGAGTATTTGTGTACTGCCCCCACCAAATTCAAGTTTAAGCCCTGACCCGCAATGTGATGGTGTTAGGGGGTGGGGCCTTTGGGAGGTGATGAGGACATGAGGGTGGAGCCCTTAAGAATGGGATTAGTGCCCTTTTAAGAAGAGACACGAGAGAGAGGACCTCTTTCTCCACCACGTGAGGACACGGCAAGAAGGTGGCCATCTGCAAACCAGGAAGAGAGTCCTTATCAGGAACTGAATTGGCTGTCACCTTGCTCTGGGATTTCTCAGCCTCCAGAACTCTGAGAAATGAATGTTTGTTGTTTAAGCAGCCCAGTCTGTGGCATCCTGCTACGGCAGCCTGTACTAACAGTCTGTCTGCACCAATGCGAGTTCTCTCTTCTTTTATCTTTTCCATATTATGAATACATACCTGTTGGAAACAGATGACACACTCAAAAGGAATGATTTGCAGATAATTTCACACAGCACTGTTTACAAAGGTGGGGACAGGGCCGATGGAGACCAACAGGGAAGTTGAAGCACCCCCGGGCCAGTGACTGAGAACACGCTACTGGCCTGTGGGACACAGAGCGGGCAGGACCCGTGAGGCTGCATCTGGAGGGGAGGGCTGCCTGCAGAAGCTGCAACCTGCATGGGAGGAACACAGTCCTAGGAGGACCCTGGATGCCTGTTTCTCCACTGTGCCCTCTGATCTTACTGGCATCTCCCAGGGGCCAAACCCAATCAGGAGTCAGAGGGCAAAGGAGCTGGTTAGTCTTCCCAGAACTCAGAGCAGAGTGAGGCATGTGGATAGCAGATCTGGAAGGCCAAGAATGACCTGCATAAAACCTGCCTTCTACTGATATTTGACTTTTAGTTATCGCTTGACCAGGCTATAAACCCCTTAGTCATACCTAGCAGAGTGCTAGCAAATTACTGCTGTCTAATAAAAATCATGTGCAACTGAATTTTAATTTTGAGTCACCAAATAGAAAGCTGAGGTGTTTTACTTCTCCTTCCTTACCCTCATGGAGCTAACTAAGGCTTATAGTTCTGCAACGTTCTAAAAAGTTAACTGTGGAAATGGATCAACTGAAAGGGATTTGTAACATTACTTAAAATAATAGATGATGCTCATTTTGTCAAACGGCCAAATGCACAGAGTATATTATACCATTTGTTTGAAAATCCCACATATTTATTCTCCTAAACATCTGGCAGCTCATCTCCAGGCTGCCGTCTCCAGCTCCACACCCTGCGTGGCTCTGTCCCTCAGAATAGGGCCAGCTTACAATGCTATGGGAATGCACACAACTGCACAGGGAATCACGTGTGGCTCCCCTGTGCTATCTGCACTATGGCTAATGTAGTCTCTTTCCCAGTGAAGCCTTTATTAAAATCCCACCCACAGGAAGTTTTCAAAAATACCAGTATTTCACCAGAATCGATTGGGATCTGCTGGCCTGTCTAACGGCTTTAGCATCGGTGGCGACGTTGAGGGTGAGACCACGGTTATAAGGTCATAGCACAGGGACAGCTTACCTGAATTTTGCAGGGACTGCTAAATTCAAAGATATAAATATTCTACAGCTTTTGAAACCGCTGCACTGTGGTCCACTCCGTGGGGTCTGCTTCACCAATGAAAATATCTAATAACCTGGTTCAATAACTATATTCCAGTGGTCATATTTGGGACTAAGACAGACTACTTGTTGGGAAATGCAGCACAGTAAACATGGTACATACTATAATGAGGAACCACTGAGGGCTGTTCTCTCAGGAAATGAAAGAAAGCTGACATTATTGAAGGCAGATCCAATAATGTGTCCTCCTCGTGGCCTGCAGTCATGCGACAGTCACCACGGTTTATTTTTTGAGTGCCTGTTATCTGCAGGCACCATGTTATATGCTGGGGTATACCAAGGATGGCAAGTGCTAAGAAGAGAAAGTACTGGTAAAAGCAAACCCATCGGGGCTGAGGAAAGGCTTCCCTGTGGGAGTGAGAGTGGGGCTGAGAGCTGAAAGGTAGGTTTGAATGGGTCGGGGTGTTGGTGGTGGGGGAGGACATGGGGTGAAAAGGCCCAAACGGAGGGGAAGCCCAGGGTCTGAGAGCTGAAAGAGGATAGTGTGGCCGGAGTACAGCGACCAGGGGGAAAAGTGGCCAGATCTGAGGACAGGGGTTGGAGGTAGGGGCCAGAGCCTTTAGGGCCTCACTAGCCACTTTTCAACTTTTCTCTTTACTTTGAAAGCAGTGGGAAGCCACTGAAGAATTTCGAGCAGGGGGTGATGTGGTCAGATCTGTTTCCAAAAGATCTCTTTGGCAGCCATACGGAGAATGACAGCTGTGAGGAGAGCAGCTGGAGGCAAATGCACGCAAGCCAGGGCTGGGAGGAGCCTGGACCAGCCTGCAGGTGAGAGCAGCAGAGGGAAGCCGAGTATGGGAAGGTTCTTTAGGAGGCAGAATGGGTGGGCGAGGCGACGGAGGGCAGTGTGTCCAGAGGAGGGATTCTGGTTTGCACAACTGGATGGATATTCATGGCCGAAGAAGGAGAGCAATGAAAGGCACCAGATTCGCAGAGCCGATGATGAGTTAGGTTTCTGTAGCGAGACAGATTCCGACCTGTCCTGCCCTGCCCCCAACACATCTACTCAGAAACCGTCAGTCGGCGTAGCTTACCGGTTCCGTCCCTTTTTCTCTCGTGACATGGAACTGCTCTGGAGTCAGCTTCTTCTGCAACTCACTCTTGGAGAGAACCGGCTTCCGCTTCGTAAGGGACCCTGTGTTGTTAAATAGGAATTAAAAAAAAAATTAAAACTGCAAGGCCCAGAGTGCTGAGGTTGACTTCCTTGGATTTGTCTAAGAAAATTTAGTTATTTACCCAAAGAATTAGAGTCATGCCTTTACTACAAATATTTATATTTTTCATTGTTTTTCGTATTTCATTGCATCGTTCAGGATCTCAAAATAACTACTGTATAAGAATTTATTTACTTTAATAGCAATGGTCGACAAATTGCAAATTATAAGATGGGTGCTACTGACTTTCAAATGATGTCTGTGATCAAGTTGAGGACTTTTATATTTTCTATATTATTAAAATATATTTTGCTTGGAAAAAAACCAGTAAGGCACAATGACCTTTTCTTCCCTAGCCTCTCTCCTAAAGTGCACCATCTCCCAGCAAAACCCGCCATCCCTTCCCCTCCCCCTTCCACCCCTTCCTTCTTCACAGAGACCAGAAAGCTCAGGTACAAAATACTGTAACTGACTCATTAGTTTACTAAGAAATGAGTAATAAGTAGAGAGCCAGTTTTCCAGTCCTGCTGGGGCACAGAAGATAAGAGGCAGCTGAAATACGAAATAAGGTAGAATAAATTCTCCTTGGGTTACTAAGGGTAGAAATTCATCTTTCTTCTATTACTACGTTCAAAGGAGTGTTTCCTGTCAGGATACAGCTGGGAGTAACTGAGTGATTGGAGAGAAAAGATCGTGGAGCCAGTGGGTTATTAAACCTCTCTTCCTCGCTGGTTTATAAAGATATCTCTGATTTTGTTTGTCAAGGGAGGTCTTATTAAAAATTCTTTGGTGTGGAAAAAATAAGAGACTCCTATAGCACATACTCCTGAACGGGAAACTGAGACCTACCATAATCTATTATCATGCTTCATGGTTTTTTTCCACTTTTGTCTTCCTTTCTTCTGCTCCCTTCAGCTTCTATTTTACAACTTTTTTTTCCAGTGAGTGTAAACATAATAACTTTAGCCAAAGAGAAGTAGGAAGCCTAATGTATATTATAATAAAGAAACATTTTAATCATCCAAATGTTTTAATCATCCAATGTTAAGAATATGAAAGGACCTTATCATCTGCTTACACCTCAACTTACAAAGGAGAAAATAAGGCCCAAAGGGTAACCTGACCACAGCACTGAAGATGAAACGTTAAATACCTGTGATGTCACCACCCACATAACAAACATGTCAGAAAATCATAGCTGAATTTCATTTTTGGTTACAAAAAAGCAAGTCCTAAATAATCCTTCAGCAGG